TCACATGCATCCAAGTCATCGTTCTTTCTGATACCTACATTGGTCACTCTGCCGACATCTCCTTCGCTGTAGTACACGACCCCATCGACTGTTAATTTCTGACCAGGCAAGGCTTGCACTTCGTCCCCAAGGACCAGCGTACGAGCAGACCCAACCACGTTAAATTTCTTGGTCCATCCCTCCGCCGTCATAAAAGAAACGAGTCCGGACCGGTACCAAGCAACACCGAATCGCAGCTCACTGCGACCCTGGACCGGTACCAAACGAAGGTCGGAAGACACTCTGCCCCTGTCGCCGGGGGCGTAAAACTCTGTGCCGGATCCGTTGGTGAACTCTGCCCCAGGGAGGGCCTCGACCTCTTCGCCGAACGCGGGCGCTGCACCCACGATGCGCACGCGGGACGCCCAGTCCTTCGACATGCGCCACGTGAGCCCGGTCCGCAGCCACGTGACATCGAACGCCTTGTCTCCATTACCGTCCAAATACACCTCGGAGGACACTCGCCCAGCATCACCCTCCCTGTAGTACTCCCGCCCTGCGACCTCCAGGCCCTGACTGGGGAGCACCACCAGCTGCTGCCCGGGCACAGGCAGAGACCGCCAAGCCGAGCTGTCCTCCACCCGAGATTCCAGCAATGCCGCCGCGGAGTCACTTGCCGTTTCTCCACTTCGGAGCTGTGCGCAAATCTGTTCGATACTATTCTGCGCAATGCACAATACCTTTGGATTGACCTTGACCCTCGCAGATCGCATGAGCAAAGAATCTGCACCCCAGGGCGAATCTTCCTTCTCTCGAAAGTTCGTCACAATCTCATTCGTGTCCCAGAGGTGAACTCGTACAAATCCAGTTCTCTCGCCCTGCTCTTCCCTGACGCATCCTTGATACCACTGCCCGTTTTCCTTTAAGGTGCCCTTGGCCCACCAACCTTCTTGATATCTGCCAGTAATCACAAATCCATTGATCTCCAGGTCGCTGGGGCTGTCCGTGGTACGCACGATTTTGAATCTCCTGTGGTTTCCGCGGGCTTTCCACAAACCCTGGATGCCCAAGTGATCCTGAGTTTTTCCGCAGCACTCCTCGCACTCGTCCCAGTTGCACTCTCTGCAAGAGAACGCCTGTGCCTGAACAGCCATGTCCTTACCGCACTTATCGCAAGAAAATCCTGGACGAGGTGTGGTAAAAGGTGCGAGAGGATGCCAGTTGGGGCAGCACCCGGAGCTGGAATCTCCGGCGACCTCCCGTGCGCTCGGCGAGCCGCCCGCCGGGGAGGCGGGCTGCACCTCCTGCGGCAGCTTGGCTTCTGGCCCCGAGACCCACTGCCTCACCTGCTCTGCCCCCGTGGTGGCCGCGGAGCCGGCCGGCTCCCGCTGCCCCTGCTCCGCAGACAGCTTTAACCAGCCTGGAACATATCCCTATCCCTATGCTGGGCATCGCCCCATCACGATGCCAATCTTAGGGATTCCCTCAGTTTTTGAGGGCGCATCCCTAAGATTGTCATCGCCTTTCGGCGTGTCAATCTTAGGGATAGGGATAAGTTCGAGGCTGGTGAAGCTTGGCTTGCAGCTCCAGCAGCTGCGCCCGCAGCTGCCGCTCGCTCTCGCGCGCCCTCCCCAGCAGCTCGGCCAGCCCCGCGGCCTCCCCGCGCGCCTCCTCCAGGGCCTCGGCCAGGTCGTCGTAGCTCAGCGGCCGGCCGTCAAAGTCTCTGACGGCGCACCGGATCTCGCCGGAAGAGCAGCTGCTCCGCCGATGGCCCGCCTGCTGGGAGGCCAGCGCCTCCCCCACCGTCACCTCCGGCGACTCCTTCACGACGGAGCCCTGGCGCACAAACATGCCGTGGTTCGCCTCACAGTCGAAGTAGCGCTCGGCGCCCACGGAGCCGTCGTTCTTGCCGACCGGGTTCTCGAGCTCGATGCCGACCCAGTCGCCCTCCTTGAAGCTGGTCGTGCCAATGTACTTGACCACGCCCCTCTCCTTCTGACAACCTACCAGACCACCCCAACCCAACCCGAAGACCGGAATTCCAGGTTGGGGGGGGGGGGTGCGGCTTGCACACGTGTTTCCTCGATGCTCCCTGCCCCCCCCCCCCTGGAAGTGGAGGGCCAATTGGGGCCTTCGGGCTGGGCCGGGGTGGTTTGGTGGCTGGTGACCTTCGCGGCCCTGCCCACCAACACGACGTCCCCGACCTGCAGGGCCATGGAGGCGGCCGCCTCTCCGGGGCCTCGCCGCCTCGCTCCGACGGCGCAGCGGGAGCGAGGAGGCAACGCCTGGCGCGCGCACGCGCGCCTGCGGACACGTTTGAGCCAAAAGGGCTGCAGCCAAACGGCTACGGACCATCATGGGAGGATGGAGGGGTCGACGAGTACGAAGGACAGCTGGATCCCAGTCGGGCCCCAGCAGAAGTCAGACTGGAGCCGGCTGGACCTGGGACCTGTTCCACTCCCGTTGAACTCCAAATTGCATGCCGATCTGATCCAACACAGAATCAGCTGGACCTGGGATCTGGGATCTGCTCCAGCTCAATCAGATTCTGAACATACCCCGATAGGAATACGGTTGGAATTAGCTGGATCGGGGATCTGCACTGTTCCAATTCGTTTCTACTTCGAGTCCAACAGTAATCATACGGGGACCAGCTGGATCTGGGACTTGCTCCATTCTTATCATATTCCAAATACATTTCAATTGAAATCAGCTGGACCTGGGACCTGCCCAAGTACAATTAGATTCTACTCATAATCCAATAAGAATCCAATTGGAATCAGCTGGACATGGGATCTGTCCAATTCCACTGAGATTCTACTCAGTGTCCAAAAAGATTTAAAATATAAGTAGCTGGATCTGGGAACTGCCCAATTCGAACTAGATGCGAATTAGATTCCAGTAGGAATCTCAGTGGAATCAGCTGGATATTGGGATCGTGGATCTGTCCCATTCCAACTAGATTCCAATGTGCTTCCATCAGGAATCCAAAGAATCCAACTGGAATCAACTGGGTTTTGGATCTGCCCAAATCCAAAAATAGTCAGATCCGATTCTAAAATGAATGCAACTGGAACCAGCTGGATCTGGGACCTGCTCAATTCCAGTTACAGTCTAACTATATCCCGATTGGAGTCAACGCAGAATCCGCTGGATCTAAGGTCTGCTCCAGATCAATTGCTTCTCATAAGTTCCCAATAGGAATCCAATTGGAATCAGCTGGATTTGGGTCCCAACAGGAATCACATCAGAATCAGCTGGAACTGGTATCTGCTCTAGTCGAATTACACTACAACAGGGATGCACTTGAAATCAGCTGGATATGGGACCTGCCCAATTCCAATTAGATTCTAACTACATTCCGGTAGGGATCATGTTGGAATTAACTGGATCCAAGATCTGCTCCATTCCAATTAGATCCGAACCATATTCCAGCAGGGATTCCATTGGAATCAGCTGGATCTGGCAGTATCGTTTTCCTACTCCGTTTCCGTTCCTCCTCCTCACCCTCCCCTCTCCTCCTCCTCCTCCTCCTCCTACTCCTCCTCCTACTCCTCCTCCTACTCCTCCTACTCCTCCTCCTCCTCCTCCTCCTCCTCCTCCTCCTCCTCCTCCTCCTCCTCCTCCTCCGTATCCTCCTCCTCCTCCTCCTCCTCCTCCTCCTCCTCCTCCTCCTCCTCCTCCTCCTCCTCCCCCATCTTCCTCCTCATTGCCGTTCCTCCTCCTTGTTGCAAAACTAGAAAGAAGAATCCACGGTGTGTGGCGCCCCTCGGTGCCACGAAACGCCGTGTATGGTCGTGCTCGTTGCTATTGTGGGCCTGGGGGGAGGGCATGGAAACACTCTGTGTGTTTGCCGTGTGTGGTCTTTGTGGCTGGGCGTTTTTTTTTGGGGGGGGTCGGTGGATGGTTGGTGCTGGGTTGCTGTGGTGCGGGAAGAGACGAAACACTGTGCCTGTGTGACTTGTGTGGTTCAAGCGGTTCCCGCGCCCCCCCCCCCCAAAAAAAACAACAAAACCTGGCGTTCCAATTCTCATCAGGAGCCTCCGAAACCAGGCTTCCGTTGCTTCCCAGGCTAAAAATACCAAGCCAAAACAACAATGCATAGAGTGTCGTAGCACCAAGGGCGCCAGACACTGCGTAGTCTTACTACTCTTGCTCTGCAACATAGAGGAGGACAAGGAAAGGGGAAGGGGGAGAAGGAGATGCGGGGGGAGGCCGCGGGGAGCATCTGAACTTCCACCCACCCACCCAAAAAAGAACGTCCAACACACACACACACACACACACACACACACACACACACACACACACACACCGTGTTCCGCTGCTTCCCAGACCAAAACTACCAAACAGAAGCAACAATACACAGCGTGCCGTGGCGGGCGCCAAGGGCGCAAAACTCTGTGTAGTCGTGTTGTGGTTGAGTTTTACAGCAAGGAGAAGGAGGAGAGAAGGAGCTAGAATAGAGGGAAAGTATAATCAGAAGGACAAGGTGTGTTTGGAGGAGGGGGAAGGAAAAAAATGAAGGACGAGCTGTGCTTGGAGAAGCAGGGGAGGGGAGAGGAGAGGAGAGAGAGAGAGAGAGATAGGGAGAGAAAGAGAAAGAGAGGGAGAGAGAGAACGATGAAAACCAAAAAGAAGGGGAACTGCAGGAGGAGGGAAAGCAGAACATGTATGATCATGCAGGGGGGCTACCCTATATGTGTAGCTCTCTATCCTCCTCCTCCTCCTCCTCCTCCTCCTCCTCCTCCTCCTCCTCCTCCTCCTCCTCCTCTTCCTCCTCCTCCTCCTCCTCCTCCTCCTCCTCCTCCTCCTCCCCCTCCCCCTCCTCCTCCTCCCCCTCCTCCTCCCCCTCCTCGTCTCATCGTGTCCTGATTGTGGATCCTCTCCTCGCCCGCAACACCTGCACACAAGACCACTCCGCCGCGCGCTGCCTCCGTGTCATGCCCACGCCCCTTCCGCAAACCCCTCTCATCCCCGCCTCCTCTTCCCCTCGTCCTCTACCTTCCTTCCTTCCTTGTCGTATCCCCACAGGTCCCCCACCCCCGGGATCCCTCGTCCTCTTCTCGCCTGTCCTGCCTATATCGCCTGATTGACATATCGTTTACCGCCACCTGTGATGGCTCCCTGGCCGCCATCCGTCCTATGGCACCACTGATGTGATCCGCAAGCATGCCTCGAGGCACGAAGTGGCGTGTCCTCAGGTCCTTAAAAGTCTTTTGTTCTCTGCGCACAGAACACTAGCGCCCCAAATTCTTAAAGTTCCCGGGCGTTCCCACACGGTTCCCAGACTGCCTCGCATGACTTTTCCAGCGGCGAGAGGGCCCCAAGACGGGCCAAGAGGGCCGCAGAAAGCGCCCCAAGTCCAAGAGGGCCGCAGAAAGCGCCCCAAGTCCAAGAGACCTCCAAGACAGTCCAAGAGCGCGCCAAGACGCCCAAGGTGGCCCCGAGACGGCCAGAGAGGCCCCAGAGAAGCCCCAAGAGCGCTCCGAGATGACGGCCCGAAGAGGCAAGAAGCATTCATTGTCGTTGCGGTTTTCTATGCATTTAGCGTTCTCGCGTTTTCTGGCTTCCGACGCTCCACGGCCCACGGCCCACGGCCCTCAGGACCGCCCCACGGCACAGAGGCCCGCTTCCACGCTTCTGGCTCCCCAGAGGCCCTCAGGACCGCCCCACGGCCCGAGAGGGCCCCAAAACGGCCCAAGAGGCGCCCAAGATCGCCCAAGAGGGGCCCAAGACGGCCCCAAGAGGGGCCCAAGAGGGGGAACACGAACCGACAAGTCGAGTCCCAAAGAGGCCCCCAAACGGTCTCCAGGAGGCCTCCCTCCCACTGCCTCCAAGAGGCCCCCGAGAGGCCTTCCACGATATCCGAACGAACATCCAAGAGGCCTCTAACCCACAACCCAGGCACGGTGGCGGGATGGGCCGAAGGCCACTAGAACCTTGTCTCGCCATGTCTCCTGATCTCTTCTCCTCTCATAGACTACCCTGTCTCTGATCAAAGAAGTAAATACATATCAATTCGAATTGGGTCAATATACGATCGGATTACAGAAGCTACGTTACGCTGCTAAGCACCGCCAAACCAACTAAGTAAGGTGGATTAGGCTCAGATAAACTGCTAAGCGGAAGCAAGCAGAGTGGTTCAGCTCATCAGTTGAGCTGGTCGACGCTACAATGCGATTTACTAGGGCAAGGCAATCGCAGATAAGCTGAGCGATGATCGGAGGTGAGGGGTGAGATCGCATTGGCCGGCGGTGGCCAGGGGTGTCCCGCCGCAGTGCTCGCCGGTGTCCCGTGGTGTCCCATGGTGTCCCCGCCGATGTCCCGTCGGTGTCCCCGTCGGTGTTCCCGTCGGTGTCAGCTTCGGTCTCCCGTCAGTGTCCCGTCGGTGTCCCCGTGGTGTCCCGATGGTGTCCCGTCGGTGTCCCGTAGTGGGATCGATAGTTAGATCGATCGTGAGGCCGATAGTGGCATTGGCTGTGAGATCGACAGTGGGATCGATAGGGACATCGATAGTGAGATCGATCGAGAGAGATCAATAATAAGACCGGTAGTGAGATCGGTAGTGAGATTGATAGAGGGAATGATAGTGAGACCGATGAGATCGAATAATGAGATCAATTGTATGAGACGCTGGTTCCTCCCTAAATATACAATTCTATTTCAAGCCAGGCTCAGCGGATAGGAAGCTACGTACCGCTATCTAGAGTACGTTCATACTCGTGAACATACGCAACCAGCGCATGGTGCTAAGCATTATCACAACCATGCGCACGTGAACAATCGTTATGCCATGAGCAGGAGCAGGGGCATTGGCGTCAGCATGGAACATGGCCCTGAAACGTGAGTATCAGCGTGATCAAACTCGTGAGATGACCGTGATTACTAGCACTGCAGTGACAATGAATGACCGAGAGAGCAGGAACTCCAATATGCAGGACGGTTCTCAACAAGATCAGCTACATGGTGTCCAAGATTCGCCACAGGCCCTCAAAAACACGCAAAAGAAGCCCGAAAGAGCCTCCAAGAGGCTCCGAAAGCCTGTCCAAGAGACCCTGAAACATCTCTAAGACGCATCTGGTCAACGACCCAGGCGGTGGCAGAACGGACAGAAGGCCACTACATACGATTCCAGAAGGACAGGCCCCTCAAACCCTGAAGGCATGAAAAACCTTTGCTCTGCGCATGCATCTCAACAGGATCAAGCATGGAGAGATTGTCACTGGTGCGATATCCTTTCTGGTGAACAATGCTCTTCTCGCTGGCTATCCAATCAAAACGGTCCTGGCGGTGCAGGTCTGACAACATTGCGAGGCAAAGCAGCACTGAATCGTTTCGCCCAAGCCACGATCAGAAACACTGAGTCGCGGAGACTTCAATGGCAACGTAAATGGTCACCGCTGGGGGACCGGGCAGTGATGACACAGACTGACAGGCAGACTGCGGACGCCACGCAAGTGTAAGAAACAACAAGGATGCCCGTGAGTCAGAAAACGCAGTCTAGCCAGAGAGTCACTGATAGTGTAAGACATCAGCATTGCTTCAAATACGTCGAATGAACACGCAACGTCCCTTCACACACTGCTCCTTTCGTCTTTCGAGTGCGCGAGCACCACAGCGCATTGCACACCGCACTCCGAATGAGGTGTGCGCATCCTATCACACCCGCCCATCGTATGAGAAGCGCCTGTGCAATTCAGCTTGGCTTCACCTGCCACGTGGGACAGAGACGTTGCACAAGATCCTTAGAGGCGCCACATGTTTAGCTTCTCGAATTCAGTTTCTCAGATCCTTCAATGTACTGAGGTCCCAGTCTCCATCGCCTCTATGACTCTCCAATGTTCAAAGCTGACTTGAACTCCGACTTTTAGACATGCGCTTCATAGATGTGTCATTTCACACATCCACGTTTCGTCACCATTCTGCGACTCCGCACAATCACTCTCGTATGTGGACCCGCATGCAAATTGGGTAAAAGCTAATGGGTTTGATCATGCCGAGATGGCGCGATATGAGGATATTTATTATTGAAAAGGCATATGTTTCACCTGCGGGGCCGCCCCCGTCTCCCAGCATGCCCCACCTTGACGCCAGTCGCTACCCGGCGAGTCGCCCACCAAGTCGCCCACCGGCGGGGAAGCAGACGGCGATCAGCAAGGGAGAAAGGCGATGCAGGACAGGCGAGGGCAAGAGACGGGCTCGGCTACACGCAGAGGTAACCTTAAGTTGGGCATATCCTCCTACAGGGGGAGTTTCGATGACAAATAAAAACAGTCAACTAAAAATACTCAATCACCGGACAGCTCGCCCCTTGGCCCCCCGCCAGCCCCACGCCAAGGGGCGAGCATATATACGGGCGCAGCACCTCGCTGGAGGCGTAGCCGTCGGCTGGGCCGACCATACAGATGATGCATCGCGTGGCGGCTGGATGCCCGCGCCGAGCACAGAGCTCTTCTCGGTTCCTCCCTCCTCTTCCTCCCTCCTCCTCTTCCACCTCCTCCTCCTCCTCCTTCGACTCCTCCACTTCCACCTCCTCCTCCCTTCTGCCGCCTCCTCATCCCGTCCGCGTCCTCCGCCCTCGAGCTGATCTCCCCCCCCCCGTCGTCCATTTTCAATGAAATCCTCCTCCCGCCGCCTCTTGCCTCGTCCGCCCGAGATATCCTCACCCGCTTGCTTAAACCTGCCACCCGAAATATCCTCACCCGCTGGCTTAAAACTGCCACCCGAAATATCCTCATCCGAAATATCTTCACCCGCTGGCTTAAAACTGCCACGCGAGATATCCTCACCCGCTGGCTTAAACCTGCCACCCGAAATATCCTCACCCGCTGGCGTAAAACTGCCACCGAAATATCCTCACCCGAGATATCCTCACCCGCTGGCTTAAAACTGCCACCGAAACATCCTCACCCGCTGGCGCTTAAAACTGCCACCGAAATATCCTCACCCGCTGGCTTAAAACTGCCACCGAAATATGCTCACCAGCTGGCTTAAAACTGCCACCCGAAATATCCCCACCCGCTGGCTTAAAACTGCCACCCAAATATTCTCACCCGCTGGCTTAAAACTGCCACCCGAGATATCCTCACCCGCTGGCTTAAAACTGCCACCCGAGATATCCTCACCCGCTGGCTTAAACCTGCCACCCGAAATATCCTCACCCGCTGGATTAAAACAGCCACCTGAAACATCCTCATCCGAAATATCTTCACCCGCTGGCTTAAAACTGCCACGCGAGATATTCTCACCCGCTGGCTTAAACCTGCCACCCGAAATATCCTCACCCGCTGGCGTAAAACTGCCACCGAAATATCCTCACCCGAGATATCCTCACCCGCTGGCTTAAAACTGCCACCGAAACATCCTCACCCGCTGGCGCTTAAAACTGCCACCGAAATATCCTCACCCGCTGGCTTAAAACTGCCACCGAAATATGCTCACCAGCTGGCTTAAAACTGCCACCCGAAATATCCTCACCCGCGGACATAAAACTGCCACCCAAATATTCTCACCCGCTGGCTTAAAACTGCCACCCGAGATATCCTCACCCGCTGGCTTAAAACTGCCACCCGAGATATCCTCACCCGCTGGCTTAAACCTGCCACCCGAAATATCCTCACCCGCTGGCTTAAAACAGCCACCCGAAATATCCTCATCCGAAATATCTTCACCCGCTGGCTTAAAACTGCCACGCGAGATATCCTCACCCGCTGGCTTAAACCTGCCACCCGAAATATCCTCACCCGCTGGCGTAAAACTGCCACCGAAATATCCTCACCCGAGATATCCTCACCCGCTGGCTTAAAACTGCCACCGAAACATCCTCACCCGCTGGCGCTTAAAACTGCCACCGAAATATCCTCACCCGCTGGCTTAAAACTGCCACCGAAATATGCTCACCAGCTGGCTTAAAACTGCCACCCGAAATATCCTCACCCGCGGAAATAAAACTGCCATCTAACGGCCTGGTGGTTCAGTTCAGTCTGTCAGTGTCTACCTCGCGAGAATCAAATTACGGGCTGCGCCCGTAAAACATAATCCAAGACTAGGAAATATTCAAACAGAATAGTCAAAAAATGCTCAAACATAGTCCAGTGAAACTAGCCAATAGAAATAATCCCAAAAACAATCAATCCCAGATGTTGTTCTTACTATTTTTGCACATTCCTCCTGTAGAGGAACGTGCCCGACTTACAGGTAACCCTGGGCAAGAGTGGCCTCTGGTGCGCGGCTCGGGGGGCCGCAGAGAAGGCCAAGTCCCGACTACCTACGAGACCACCCCAACCCAGTCCGAAGACCCGAATCGGACCCGAACTTCGGGTTGGGGGGGGTACGGGGCCCACGTGTTTTTTCAATGCTCCCAAACCCCCCACCCCTCCCCCACCCACTGGAAATGGAGGGCAAACGGAGGCCTCTGGGTTGGGTTGGGTTGGGTTGGAGTGGTGGGTGGTGAAATCCAGGCGCGCGCGCGCTCAGTGCTCGGCTACACGCAAAAGGGTGACCCTGGGCAGGAGTGGCCTCTGGTGCGCGGCTTTGGGGGGCCGCAGGGGAGGCCAAGTCCTGACTGCCTACCAGACCACCCCAACCCAATCCCAAGACCCGAATCTGACCCGAATTTCGGGTTGGGGGGGGGGTACGGGGCCCACGTGTTTTTTCAATGTTCCCAGATCCCGGGTTTTGCTCTGGGGCCCCCTCGGTGCGGGAAGAAAAACCCGGAACCCTAGGGTTCCGGGTTTCCACCCCTGGAATTCCGGGTCTACCCCCAGACCCCCCCCTCCCCCAACCACTGGAAATGGAGGGCAAACGGAGGCCTCCGGGTTGGGTTGGGGTGGAGTGGTGGGTGGTGAAATCCAGGCGCGCGCGCTCAGTGCTCGCCTACACGCAAAAGGGTGACCCTGGGCAAGAGCGGCCTCTGGTGCGCGGCGTTGGGGGGCCGCAGGGGAGGCCAGATCCAGGCTTGCGGGCCAATGCTCGGCTACACGCACGAGTAACTGGGCAAGAGTGGTCTCTGGTGCACGGCGTCAGGGGGCCGCAGGGGTGGCCAAAATCCAGGCGCGCCAGCCTTTAGGTGCTCGTTTGGGGGACCTTCCTGGGGCCACTCGCTCCACTCATGCACCGATGCTGCGTCGAACGTCCGTCTTGAGTCGAACTTGAGTCGGACTTGAGTCGGACTTGAGTCGACCTTGAGTCGAATTAAAGCCGAACTCGAGCCGAACAGATCTGTTTGGCAGGCCCCAGAAAGGTCCCCAAAACGAACAGTGCTGGACTGGAGGGGGACCGCTTGTGGGCCCGCACCAGAGGCCACTCCGGCGAAGGGCCACTCCTCCTACGAGTAGCCTTAAGTCGGGCAGGTCCCCCTACAGGGGGAGTTCGGACGAAAAATTAAGAATACCCAGAACATACTCCGAAATGGTCAAAATCAAAACTAGTCAACAAGTCGTCCCCGAACTATTTCTTGACGATCTCTGGATACTCCTCCTGTAGAGGGACAGGCCCGACTTAGGAGTAGCCGCCACGCGAGAGCAGGCACACGGCGGCGAGGCGCCTACGCTGGGGCGACAGAAGGGTATCGACGCCGCTGCTCACCGAATCTCTCCCGAGGTGCACTCCGACAGACCTTCGGGGCGAATCCAGCCTTGGCCACGAGGGCTCCCAGGACTCCAGGACAAGCAGCGATAAACTGTTGGAGCGCCGCGCGGATTTCTTGACCTGCGCTGGGCCCCCATCCCTGGCGGGCGGAGCGCGCCAGGGGCGGCGCCAGAGGCGCCGGGGGGTCCAGCGCAGATAGAAAAATCCACACGGAGCTCCGAAAATGTATGCTTATGCATTTTCCCCTCTGAGGTATCGGCATCTCGGGGGGACCCAACTGGTGTGGTGACCACACCGCGTGGTAAGCCAGCGGGGATTCCAGGTCCCCGCACGGTTTCGGAACTCGGGAAATCTCCGGGAAAGTCTCGGGCGCCTGGGGCCCCCAGGGTCCCAGAAGTGTGCGGTGACAAAACGCGTTCAAAACGAAAAACCAATCAAAAAAGCAAAACAACCATTTGTCATGCAAAACAACCCCAGCCCCGCGCTGGCGGCCGGCGGCGGCGGCAGGCCGCAGGCGGCAGGCGGCGGCGGGCGGCGGCAGGCGGCAGGCGGCGAGCGGCAGGCTCCGGCGGCGGCAGGCGGCGGGCGGCGGCGGCAGGCGGCAGGCGAGGCACGGCGATGGTGGCAGGCGGCCCGGAGGCTCCAAGAAAACGGGCAGCTTCCGTATGGCACCGTCGAGGTCGACGACCTGTGCAGCCTGCGCAGGTTCGCCCCGGGGCGCGCGACCCTCCCCAACACTCTGCCGTCTGCGGGAGTCCTGAGTAGCACAAGACAGCACAATCCTCCTCCTCCTCCTCCTCCTCCTCCTCCTCCTCCTCCTCCTCCTCCTCCTCCTCCTCCTTCCGCCTCCTCCGCCTCATCCTCCTCCGCCTCCTCCTCCGCCTCCTCCGCCTCCTCCTCCTCCTCCGCCTCCTCCGCCTCCTCCTCCT